GATATATAAGTTGTTCGGATTTTTTCATCTAAAGAAAGCGACATTAATTTCTTGACGATCTAATACTTCTATCCACTATGATAACCAAAGTTATCATACGACTAATATTTTTAACCTATACCCTGACAGAAGTATACATATGACTAATACGTCTATTCCCTACTATAACAAAAGGTTCAAGTACAATTACTACTCTATCCACTACGAGAACCAAAGTTTACATACGGCTAATATATTTAACCTCTACGCTGACAGAAGTGACATATGACTAATACGTCTTTCCCCTCCCATAATAAAAGGTTCAAGTATAATTAATACTTCTATCCACTACGATAACCAATGTTTACAAACAACTAATATTTTATTCTGTACCATAACCAAAGAACATAATAGTTCTTCTTGGTTTCTTTTTCGTTTTTTTTTGTTTTGTGGTTTAAAGAGCAGAACTCTTAAATGTGAAATGAACAAATATGGGTTATTCTCTTTAAACAACAAATAAATACATTAAGATCTAGGATTGCCTGTAAATGACCACATTGTTTATCATGCATTGTACATTAGATCAATAGAAATAAGGTTACAACAAAAACCAATCCAGTAACAAACATTATTTTGTTATTGTTTTGTTCTAAGTACGTGAAGTATCTTAGAAAACAACATATTTGTTAGGCTTCACTTTTTTAGAAGAGTACATCAGTAACTTTGACTTCCTTGTAATATGTAAATACCTTTTTCTGTTTTTGTTTTGAGTGGAACTGGAACACCACAACAACTTTATGCTGATGCAACTTTTCAGAATGATAACACAGAAGTTTCAAAAAGCTACACGAAAACATGGTCATACTTGGAGGTTGTGAACAGAATATCTTCTGTTACATTATAAATATTATCTCTATTTGATGGCTTCACTTAAATTTCTGCTTTTTGACTATCTGTTAAGAAGCTATAAATTTTTTCAGCAGAATAGTTTATATCTTCTGTAAAGTTTGGAATTGTAATGAAGAACAAACATGTTAAGTTATCATAGACGAAAATACTGTCTAGAAAAATGTATTTTCAGAATGTTATGTTATATTCTTCTCGATACTAAATTAGATATTCTTGTAACCAAACTCTTTTCAATTCTGGTGATCAAATATATTTGATTTTATAGATTTATTCTTTTTCTTATCCCAACATATTCATTACATGTATTGTGATTTTTGAAATTAAATTTATTTAATTATTGTATGAGATTTTCTTAGCTATGTTCATACTCTTTTGATATACATAATTTAGTAAAAACTGGACAAAATCCTTAGTAATGATAAATATGTGTGTAAGAATTTACTGTTACCTATATAGCGCCTTATACAGAGTTTTGTACCTAAAATGACTACATTGCAAGTATATAAATTAAAAACTTACTCATAAACGCGTTTCATTATGGGACAAAATTACGATTGGTAATGTATTAGTTATAATAGTTTTTTATATTTATATATATCCATGAAATATATCCACAAAATAACTTGTTATTTCTTATATTTATGTTGAAGCGTCTAGGTTTTTAATATTTACTTTAAAGAATATACTTGTACAATCCCACATAAATATTTATTTTAAGCTTTAGAAAATTAGGTAAGAATTTTACAATTAAATAAAAGCTTAAAAATCGAATGATTGAGTAACTTTTGGTTACATACAGTTTTATCCCCCAAATTGTTGACCACACAGTTCAAATATACTGTCTGCCCCTGCTGAGTGGTGATGTTAGTAGGTGGACTCTTGTCAAAAAACGGAGAGATAGGCTGAACAAATGACCAATAACCAGTGGAGTGAGATGAGGATGCCAAACGCTTTGTTCTTGCTTTCTGAAACATGTCATCATCCGAGATGTTCCCAAACGTCTCTACAAGAAGAAAATAAAATAAAGAACCATGAGAAAATATTGATTTCCAATGAATAGAAACAATAGTCACGCTTCAAACTTTCCAAGCTTAAATCTCAGTTTTAGTGATCTTTATCTGCTACAGTAAAATTAATTTACTGATTTGATCACATAGTGAGAAAATGAAAATAAACTGTTTAAAACGTGTACCTGTCATTTCTACTAACTGTCGTAAACTTTCTACAAAAAACACACTGAAAAAAAGCACTACACGTGAAAAAAAGAGAGTCTATTATCTGTTCAACTGATCAGGTAAATATTTTATAAAAAAACGTTTTATTAATTGAACTTAAATCAACTTTATTTGTGTGATACAGAAATATCACCTTTTCGTGAACCTGGCCTATTTAGAGAAGATTCAGGCCACATTCATGGCAAATCGTGGTACCATAACTATAAAAACAAGAAAATGATACACACTATATATAAATAATGACTAGCTACTTTATTAGGACGTTTTCACACACACTTAATATCTAACTCAACGTCGATAAATGGCGTGACTCCTCATGGCTGTCTTATCCGAATGTGAACTATTTCACAACGAGTATGATCTGTAAATGATCCACAGATTTTGTCAGATGATTATAGTGACGATTGGGATTTTCATATCGGTCCAAAAAAGTTCACTTGTATTGAGATCTAGTGATTGTGCTGTCCAAAAAATAGTTTTCAAATCAAATTGTATAATTGATGTCGCATTGCCTTGAAAGGGTTCTTGTTCAGAAAGATCGAAATTCAACATTGTTAGATTTACATATTCAGTGGCAATGTTCAGGGTCCATACACACAAAACAAAAGTCACAAGGACTCAACCCCTATTATTGTAACTTTATCCCCATCATCAAGTCTAGCAGCTTGTACTGCCTGAAGAATGGCAGGAAGCAAGATGAAGACCCCAATATACTAACTCTACCATCATTATAGAAACGTGATTCACCATATAGCATTACATAACTCCAGTTGTTCATTGCCGCAGTTTGTTTTTTAAATATCATCGAATTTGTTTTCTCCTATTTGCAACATGATTGTTATTATAAGATAAATTTGTAAAATAATACTGATGTATAAAGTCGAATCTTGCCTGATTCCTGACACAAAAATACTGAAGGCATTAATCCATTAGGAGACAATCTAACACCCGTCCAATCGTTTTTCTCCACGTTTGTCCAACGTAGTTCAAAGTAGACGTATTCTCTTTTATTTGACAATGTTAGTAGAACCTGAGGGCAGATGTCTAAAAATGAATCTATATAAAAAGCCTGTGATAAGATGTTCATGCTAGATAAACACCAACTGTCATGCTTTCTTTCAAAGTCAGAGAGATTCTTGCAATTTAAGATTGTCTTTCAGATTATCCGTTGTATGATTTTCTCTCCAAATTTATGGAGTTCAAGAAAATGCGTGGAGAGGAGATTCCAAATATAACGACCATTCATTGCATTGTAAGCATTTTGTTTTCTTAAAAACAGAAAACATAATGTTTCTCTTATAATAATGATGCAATCTTGTTAAGATAATCTTAAATATATTTTCATACAGCACATAAACTAAATGTAAATTATTGAGATATTTGTTTTAATTTGTAGAAAAACTACGCCATGTTCTTATGAAAGACTTTTTTTTTTGCTTTGAAGATAATCAGTTATTTGTTATAGTATTAGATAATCTTAAAACACTAAATAACATTTTAAATTAAAAGTGATCAGGTATAGTGATATGCACAGAATCTCATTAGTTACCCTTTGTCTGTAAATTATAGCTAATGTTTACCTATACAGCTTCCCTCTCCCGGTGGCTAGCGGTAAGTCAGAGGCCCTAAAACGCTAAAAATCGGGTTTCGATGCCCGCAGTTGGGATAGTGTAGCCTTGTGCTTAACAACGAACAACCACTTAAACAAACGAATACCAATACAGAAAACCAACAGGTAAAGATTAATTATATATATATCGCAAACTTTACATAATATTTCGAGAATTCGTTTTCTTTTTTTTGTTGTTGTTTTTACTTAAGCAACTTGTAAACATTACCTTGTCTACACGTTTATTCTGGCAGAATTTAGAAAGCTTAAACCATAACCTTTATATCTTCAATTTTAGTCATTAATTTTTCATGATATAGACTTAATTACTAATTTGTTTACATTCTTTACAACCATTTGCTTATTAATAAAACAGTCGAAACAGAAAAAACTTCATGTTCTAGCAAAATGTTTAATATCAGTCAAGTAAATTCGATTTTTTTATTCCAGAATACACCTGAAACACAATTCTCAGTCTGTAATAAAACAATACTAATAACTTATGTGTAATTTATATTAATTTGTCTCACAGTTAGTTTTGTAAATTGAAGTTTCAAATTACGCATCACATCAATTTCAAAGCTAATTTTTGGATATTTTTCAAAGAAAGTATACCTGATATGTTTATATCATATATCATATTATATCATATACTAAATGATATAATATTGTTTACTTCTTAGCTATAGTTTGAGCAACAAATATTTCAAAACAGGGGTTATGAAATTATGTGACAAACTTATAACGTGCAAAAGCACGTGGCGTATTGTAAACGATTCATTTCTAGAGATTTGCGTGACTTCTCAAAGATAATGTATATATTTTGTGCAGCAATACACACGCGAACTGTTCATAATCATCAACTTTACCTCTTCTACTGTCATATATATAAACAACTTTCCCTGTGCCAAGGTTTATTTTTAGATACATAACGAAGAACAAAAAGATTGATGCACGTTTTAATATTTCATTACTTATCTGAAATCTGAATCTGAAAAACTGAGTTGAAGAATGCAGCGTACAATGATTTCAAACCATACCATTTCCAAAGAAAACTATCCTGAAAATGAAAAGTTAAAACCTTTTTTTTTTAATCTAAGATAGAACATGTACTGCTTGATAATTTCTTCAATGATGACGTATTTTATTTCATGCAACATAAGCTTACATTTATAATTACAAATTTATACGACGTAAAATAGCACAGTTTCCTTTGGTTCTGGATAAAAGTTTGGTGTTCATTCCCTCGGAATTATTGTTCTAAAGTGTGCGTTATAGGCAAAGCTTTATAGAGAGGATTATTTGAATAATCACTATTCTGCCTGAGAAATTTGATGTGTTATCAATATATAAAGTATGACACAGTGGATACCGTTTTGGTTTGCGATAATTGTATTACGTTCCTTACACATGACAGGCCATTTTTTCTTGTTAGTTAACAGTTTATGTGAAATATACAACTAAATATTTTATTTTATTTTGAAGAAGGAAAAAGATACAGTAATTATGATGCAGAATGATATTATTTTCGTTTGATAAAAATACGTTTTCAATCCTAAAAACAGTTTAAATGAAAGCAGTGAAGGCACTAATAGACTTAACCCCAGCGAAATACTGATTTTAAATCATAATCTTTCAAATTTATAGACCTAAGTAAGGAAAGGTTGATTTCTCTTAAATGAGTTATTTGCCTAATTTTGAAAAGAATGCGATATATGCCTAATTTTGAAAAGAATGCGATATTTGCCTAATTTTGAAAAGAATGCGATATTTACGCTGTTATGCTCATTTGGTACATTTCTCTTCCTTTCCACCATATATCGTTCTTCTCAAAGAATGACACACTAAAGGTTTGCCATCAACTCTGTATTCAGAAATATATTTTTTATCTAATTCAGTCGGTACTTTTTTAAAACATCCAGAACTTCTGAACCAGTCATTAATGCCTGTACTAGAAGGAGGTATTCTCAACATCATATGCTCTGAGCAATCCTTTGTATAAAGCAAAGCTTTAAGCACTTCCATAAGTGTCTCCAAACTTCACTTGAAAAGTGTGAAAATTCCTCTTATTTCCAAGTTGAATACAGTAATCGTTCTTTCTTGTGTGAAATGACGCATGAAGTAAAAGCCACTAGCTGATCTAAATTCGAAGAATACGTGACTAAGAACCTATGAACACTTTTTTAGAAAAAAGAAACACAATATGCGGAGCTTGCATATAACGGAACTTGGTTACATATTTACTACACGGTATACAGAAGTTGGTTACATATTTACTACACGGTATACAGAAGTTGGTTACATATTTACTACACGGTATACAGAAGTTGGTTACATATTTACTACACAGTATACAGAAGTTGGTTACATATTTATTACACAGTATACAGAAGTTGGTTACATATTTATTACACAGTATACAGAAGTTGGTTACATATTTACTACACGGTATACAGAAGTTGGTTACATATTTATTACACAGTATACAGAAGTTGGTTACATATTTATTACACAGTATACAGAAGTTGGTTACATATTTATTACACAGTATACAGAAGTTGGTTACATATTTACTGTACAATATAGATTTTTATGAAGTATTCTCAGCTGCATTATTTTATTAGAGTTTCATGGTGATAATTAGAATTTTTTAGCGAAAAGTTCAAGTATTTTGTAACCACGAGTTATAAATAAAACCATCGTAATAGACTGACGTTATTTGCGTCAAATTTATGACCTTAGTGAATATCCACATTTGTTTTTACAGTTGTTACAAATTATTTCACAAAGGTTTGGTTTTTTCTTATGTCAGAACTATAATCTACAGTTATGTAAAACTATATTTATTACATAATACTTAGATCTGATTAAATAGTAACAAACATATGTATTTAACAATTATATAGCCTAAATGGTGATTGTCGTGAAACTCAAAAATCCACATTCTTTTGTAATCTCGTTGACTGTTTCATCACTGACTTGTACTACGAACTTGCTTGATTTCTTAAGTTTTGGATACAAAAATGTTGTGGCTTAAAGATAAAAGTGCAAAATTAATATTCTCATTTTCATTAAATGTTGAAGAACTCCTAAAATTGTTTTGCTTGATTAACCAAAACCATTCACATTCTTTTTCAACACAAACTCTCTGATTTACAC